TTTGCTGCTATTATGAAAGAGGTGTTAATATTAGCATATACCGTAAACACCAGAAGCCATCAGCAGTCATTTAAGTGTGCTCTAATGAACTTAATGGTTGTTTATGCTCTTGATGTATGATGCGGTGTTCTAATCATAGTGTGATGATGTTGCCATCCTCACCTTTGCCAATATATTAACCATTTCATTATGCATCGTTATTTCAACAACAAGATATGGGAAGGCTAATATGAATGAGGAAGCAAAGAATAAATGCCGGTCTTATTAAATAATGGAAGGAACTTTTAGTGTTTACATCGCAAATAACAACCAATTTTTGTTTATAAATGGCGGAAGTTATCATAAACAAGTCTTGCAAAGCAGTCAATGTTGGCACACTGGAATTATTGTTGCAATATGTTTGAATAAGCTCTTGGCTTTGAAGTAGTCCAGAAAACTCCGCCGACCGAAACGTACGTTGCTTGGTTTTACCTTACAATAATTACCTACATTTGAACAAATGACAAAGATTCAGTAACTGTAATAGCTGATGGTAGACAACATCAGAAAGCTTTCGCATACCAGCCACAAGGACGAGCAACACGACAGTCCACGACGTCTCATTCTCGTTTTGGAAGACAGCAGAACCATAACCAAATGCGCCCCTGAAAGAAAAAAATAGGAAGATTATTAGTTATTCAAGCCAATAATATAAACTAACCCAGATATCTCCCAAATCCTATCAGACCTGTCTAAAACCGTTTACCGCCATAATTGTATCCCAGCACAGAATCATAAAAGTTACACGAAAACCATGACCATTGCAGCATCAGAGAATTACAAAGTTAACAACTACCACAAATCCATAAGTCCCAATTCTAAGCAATCCAATGTCTCTTCGTGTCACTCCTATTTTGCACTTTGAGCATGTCACGCCAATCTTGAAAGCCCTCGTGTGCTGGCTCGCTTCATGTGCACACTGTGACAAATAATAACGCATCAGTTTGAACACAAAGCAGAGGTAGCAAATTCAAAATAACCGTCGAAACCGCAATTAAACAACAGCAATGACAAGATGTATAAGGAACTCGCTTCAACGAGTCATTGCTATATCATACCTTGTCCTGCATCTCCAGCCTGCTACGGATATGTCTCAGTTGGGATGAAACTCGCGCTCCGATTGGCATACAGGATACTAACTCCGGATATGATCGATCAAACGCTGTCTAAATTGTTGATACTATGGACTTGGCTTGAATGGAACTAACAAGTCTTGTCCAGCCAACGAACACCCTGCCAAAAGTACACCAGATAGCATATCAAAAGTGAAGCACATAAGATCAGTTAACACAGCAGATTCAGTTACTCTAATCTTGAAACAGAATTTGAGCACAACCTTCAACAGATGGATCAGTACACTCTCAGCAGCTTTGACTCGCTTCCTAACCCCGGTCCGTGGGAGATGAACATCAACTACTTTGCTCCAAATCATGACTTTACTTAAGAGTTTGTGAGGCCAGCTTGTGTTCCTTGCAAAAGAAACCAATTGCACAATGAAAGTCTTCAAGATTGGAGAAAGACAGTTATGTTTGAGTGCAAAAGACAACAACAGCAGTAGGATTTTGCCCTTCTGCAGGTATCTGAATTGAACGCCTATTGCTGAAGAAAGTTAAACTGTTTGGAAGAAGATACGACATCGTCCATGAGTCTTGACTACCTGAAGTCTGAATTAGCAAGTGTACCTGCATTCAATTCACACCAACGATTAAGCATCACGGGACGCAGACATTATTAAGAACTACACTCACACAGGAAGCATAACAGACCTTTGAATAATTTGAAGCTCACACCAGTCACTTGAAGTTTCGGCAGCAATCTCAGTAAACTGAGGCTCGCAGCAAGTGTAGAGCAATACCACGCCTGGGTCAACACGAGACACTCTACTCAACCCTGTCAAGAGAAATGCATGAAGTCATTAAGTCTTTAAAGCAATTCAACAACAGGCAAAACACTAGATTAATTAAAGAAAATATGAGAATAGCAAGAATTACACATGTGCACCAGAATTTGTGAGCTCTCCCAAGACACCCATTGAATGCCATACGCAAGCAGTTCTAGATGCAGCCTCTTCTTCAAAGCCAAAACAACCAGTTTCTGTTGTGCTTGGTCCTTGAGATGGCTTGAGGCGCAACTTAGACGTACCAACTGTTGCATCCTCAAAGGCAGCCATCAAACCTGCAAGACAAGAGCACACATAAAGTTTTGAAGCTTATAGATCGTTCTTCTCCACGAATAATGGCCTGCTACAATCTGTACTTCATCAGCGGAAGACCCTGAGCAGTCCCCAAAATTAACATTATGACAGAAGTTCAAATCCATCTGCTGCAAATCCTTGTGAAAGAGATGACCTCCCAGCTTGGAGCATGTACGATCCAGAATGGGAAGACTATGCTGACCCTGCATCTCCATTTGGTGCATCTTCAATATTGAATGAGTGCCCTGCTGTTGGTGCTAGCATAAATTCACTGGGGGAACAGCCACCTGTCCAAACCGATAATGGAAATCACAATGAAAATATGCAGCAAGATCAATAGAACAAATAGAGAAATCAATTACAAAATTCAAAGCAAAGAACTATAACCACTGCTAGTCTCAAAGACCATTATTCTATAAAAAAAAATCATTCGCAAACCTACAGCAATGATAAAGAGTGTCATCAAGAAACCAATAGGACTCAAACTCTTTTAATCAGAACAAATTGCTGCATAGTACAAGGACAACCACTTGAGGGCTGGGAGTGTATCCAAATCCATCTCAGAACAACATCTTCACCTGCAACACAAACCCCATAGCAGTAATTCACATTAGATTCTTGCTCAAGAAACAGGGATAGATTCGCAACTTTGGAATCACCAATTCAAGCACACGAAGATGAGTTTGCAAAGTTCAGGATTGCTCCCAACGATGAGGCTTTGGGCTCACTAGCTCTTTTACCGTAAACCACTTCGGTCTGTTAGTTTCCTGGCCCATAATCCTTCGCTATCTACACCTGTCAGGTTACAATTCAAGAGTTAGCAATTAGAGGAGGAATGTGTCGGTTTAAAAGAAAAGATTCCCAAGACATTGAATCTAGAAAGACAGAGGCATTAAGCATGATTGATACTGGATATCACAGATTGGGATTCCATTAAACAAAATCATTCGAAAAAGGAAACATTTCAAAACATTAACAGAAAATCCAATCAAGCAATCATGGAATTTAATCTCATATGAAGCCTATAAAAGGGGGAATTTGAGACAGAAGAAAGGGAATTCGCAATCACCACAGAAACCCTAAGAGACACGCGGAGAACTCCACAATCGGAAACCCTAGACCGAAAGGAGAAGAAAACTTATCTAAATTCTCGAAGTACATCGCCGCTTTCGCCCTTCATCGTGAACCCAACGAAGCTTCCGCCCTTGTCATCACCGTCTCAAACACCGCCGCCGCAACGCATAAAGCTTCGGTAAAACCTCTACCCGCATTAAGATCATGAACGACTAATGCTTTGATTTTCGTTTCAGGTACGAGAACCAGTGGATTTCGAAATAGAAATAGAAATAGAGATTGAATGAGAGGGGAGGATCGAGCGAATCCGTGAGAGGTTTAGGGTTCCGTCGCGAGGGAGGCTCCCTATGTTTGCCCTCCATTTTTTTTTTTTTTTTCGTTTGATTATTGTTCTTTTTTGTAATTTTCAGATTATAGCACTAAACACCCATAATCACCATTAACCACTAATTCACTCGCCTAATACACCAGTTTAATCATTTAACCACCCGCTAAAACATTAATTTAGAATATAATCAACCTTTTTCTTTTTTATTAATTATTAATCAATCCCTTTTTTTTTTACTTTATTATTTAGTTTTTATTTATTTGTATTATTATAATTATTTTTTAAAATGTTTTCTATTAAAATCCACTTTTTTTTTTTAAAAATAAAAAAAATAGTTTAAAACAGTTTTTGAGGATTTAAGTTAAATTAAAAATCCTATTTTAATTCAAATTGAAGTTTCTATCATAAAATACAAACCACAAAAATATACATAATTTCACTTCCTGGCGTGTCTGATGATTCATCTAATTCTGCCCGCTAACGTTGTTTGTTCGTTTTGCAGCTTATTATGTTTACCGTTATTTATTTATAATTGTAACTGTTTCCTGGTTGTAATCTCGCGAATCAATAATCGCATTTACTCTCCGCATTTTACTTCCGCTTGTATGATTTAAATTTCTCACACTTTCATCACTATTATTTATGTCACATTGCACACTTCCTAAGGATATCCCTCCAGTTGCCTACGAATAATGGTTAAGTGGGGTGTATAAAGCAAGTCCCTCAAAAAGAAAATCATCAAAGTCCCTTATGGTTGCCTTTACGAATCGAGTCCCTTTCGAAAAATGATGATAGTCTCTCTAGTTTGCTTATTACACCCCACAATGGCCTTCAAAAAAAATCCAATCGTCCCTCACATGTCCCTTAACATCCAAAGTAAGGACTACCTACTCCATTATAGTAGGGATAGTCTTACTAAGGAAAGGATAAAGAATAAGAAAGACCTTTAAACATTAGGGTAGGTTACTCCTAGGTGCTTGCTCACTCCAAAACTGTTTCACACTTAAACAAATTTTCAACAAGTTTTCAAACAAGTTCTTAACACATCCTTACATGGATTATTTATTAACTATTCTGAAAATTTTCTATTCACACACTACACTTTCAAAACAATTCAAAAGTGAGCTTAAGTACCTAAGAGCCCATGGATAACCATGGATGAAAAGGGTGCTAACACCTTCCCTTTTCATAACCTACCCCCCGGACCCAAAATATTCTCTAAGGTCTTTCCTGTTCTTTTATAACCTTTCCTTATGGATAAAATAAAAGTCGGTGGCGACTCTTGCTATCCGCGACATTGTTTAAAGTCAGTTCTCCCACCGTGTTACAGGTGACCCTATCTCACCCTTTCTGTTTGTTATTTTCATGGAGTATATGAGTAGTTTTCTCTATAAAATGAAAAGAAACCCCAACTTTAATCACTACTCCAAGTGTGAAAAGATGGAGTTCACTCATCTAACTTTTGATGATGATATTGTTTTGTTCTATAGAGGTGACAAGGGGTCTGTGGAGTTAATGACTCATACTATGCAGCAGTTCTCAAACTCTACTGGTTTGGTGGTTAATCCATCCAAATGTAATGTGTATCTTGGAGCAGTTGATGAGGCTGAAATGCACCAAATCCTTAGAATGACTGGGTATAATGAGGGAAAACTCCCTTTTAAGTATCTTGGAGTCCCTCTAACTAGTAAAAAACTTTCTATGAATCACTATCTTCCCCTCACTGAGAAAATTGTGGATAGGATTCATCACTGAAGTGCTAAACTACTTAGTCATGCTGGTAGAGTGCAATTAGTGAATGTTGTGGGTTTTGCTATATCCAACTACTGGCTCCAGTGCTTCCCTATTCCTAAGGTTGTGATTGAGAAAATCCACACTGCCTGCAGGACTTTTATCTGGGCTGGTGGCACCTCCCCTAGCAGGAAACCCCAGTTGCCTGGAAAACAGTTTATAGCCCAAAAATTAAGGGTGGTCTGAACATCTTAAACCTTGATATTTGGAATACAATAACCATGTTGAAGCTCTTGTGGAATATGTGCAGGAAAAGTGATTGACTTTGGGTCAAGTGGATGCATATGTATTTCATAAAAAGCAATGATGTATTAATAATGAAGGTGGCTAAGAGTTCCTCTTGGATTCTAAAAGGAATTATGAAGGCTAGACAAATAATTCTTGATGTGCAGAGATATTGGAATCAAAGCTTGAGAGAGGAAAAATTCAAATTAGGGGCTATCTACAAAGAAATGCAGAGCTAGGAAGCTAATGTCAATTGGTATGCTATAACAGTTGGGAATAAGGCCAGACCTAAGGTTGTGTTCTATCTTTGGCTTGCTTGCCATAGAAAAATGCCACAAAGGATAGATTAGCCAAATGGGGTATGCTTGCTCATAGAACTTGTCGCTTCTGTCAAGCCAATGAGAATATTGATCATCTTTTGTTTGATTGTACTATGATGAAGGAGATTTGGCCAAATGTTCTTCAATGGCTTTAGGTGAATCACATTCCTAGTCATTGGGAGGAGGAAATGAGATGGATTAGCAATTGCTGCAAGGGAAAAGGCAATAAAGTTGGAGTGATGAAAATAGCAGTTTTTGAAACTGTCTATCATTGCTGGAACTATAGGAACAAAACTTGCTTTAATAGTAACCATAACATAGATAAAGTTGAAGTTATAAATAACATCATAGAGGTTATAATTCAGAGGGGTTGGTACAATAGAAAGTATATGAAGTATATAACTTTTCTTATGATGTAATAGTCATCTTGGGTGGTTGGATCTCTTATGATCACCTTTGTATTCTTTTTTTTTTTGAATTAAATCAAACTTTTTATTGATTCAAAAAAAAATTGATTAACCAATTCATTAGTTAATCTTATTATATATTTACATTTAATTTGACTAATAAATTTTTCTCTTTCGTTTATTTTATTTTGTTCATATATAATGTTTGATTTCTTTGATACTCATTTTTTTGCATTCCATGTGTTTGTTTATATGTATTTATGTGGTGATTTTATTTGTGCTTTGGTGTGGTTCCATCCCCAATTGAGCAAATGCGTACCCATTCCTATAAAGTGTAATAATTTTTATCTCTTGTGCTTTGTTTGTTAGTTGCTAGGATTTTCCTTTAATGCAAGATTAAAATAAACCACCCACTTTTCAAAAAAGGATAAAATAAGCTTGACCCAACGTCAAACCCTTTTTCATAAAAGAAATAAATAGGGATTTCCATCACCGTCAACTCTTATCCATTACACTCCCTTTTGCATTTTACTTTTTGTAAGTCGATTGCCTTGTGCATCGCCATCAACCTTACATTTACCATTAGGACCTCTAATCCATTGGTTTAAACCCTTACACCATGAATAAACCCTTGATCCAACATCAAGTGGCATTTTCTAAGTTAAAATCAATCGACTTAATTATACTTAGACACTTTTCAATAAAAGATGAAAAAAGAGCGGGGTGTAGCCAATGTCTCCCCGAGAGTGAGGATCTGAGAGGTAAATTTCGTGATTCAAGTCCTCGTCATCTTAAAATCAACCAACAAACCGTAGTCAGAACTACAGATGCTCTGATTTCTCATTTGTCAATGAGAATACGTAGGCACAAAGGCCCTAATCCTTGGCGAGCAACCTTTTTCTTTTCAACCTTTTTCTTTCCCACCTTTTTCTTTCCAACCTTTTCTCTCACCCCAATGCGATCGAGACCATTTTCACAGTAGTTCCCCGAACTACGATTGCTCTAACTTCCTCATTGAACTATGAGGGTACATACGCACAAGATTGTGATGATCTTGGCGAGCACCCTAAATAAATAAACCATCTAGTCCCTATCCTATTTCTTTCCTAAACAACTTGAAAAGCCTAACATTTAGAAACAAACTTTAACACGGCCATCTAACCTAATGGTTCCCGTTGAGTACAATGGACGTAAGGGGATGCTCTCCTTACAATGAACATGTCTTCTCCTTTCGTTTAGGGGTTTTATCCTTATTTTCCCTTTTCCCTTATGAGAATGAATAAAGTTCGGTGGAGACTCTGTTAGCCCGTCCCGTGAGCGTGTGATTTGTAAAGGATTGTGCTTTTTTTGATGTACGACAAATACTTTTAGCAAATAGCATTCAATCTAGAATTTCTCATATTCAATCATCAAAGAAAGAAGCATTAAATTCAACAAGCTACCAACAACCATAAAAAACTAGAGTTGAGCATTCCTAATTGAAGATTTCAACTCTAAACAACATAAAAAGAAACTAAAGTTGAACATTCGTAGACTAAAGAATTCAACTATTATAACAATAAAATGTAATGGTGTAGAACACCAACAAAAGTACAAGTACCAAAAGTAGTACAAAAATACAACATCCAAAATGATCCACAAAGGCAGATAGTGTACAACACAAAATAAAATACAATCATAAAATATATCAATGATCTAAGCTTAATAGAATACTTCATTTGTAGAAACAAAAGGAAGTAGCTTAAGATCATGCTCAAAATATTAGAGTACTAGTCACATTGGACTCAATCTCCTCATCATCCAACTCAACCTCCTCTCCATACTCTGAACCAGAACCAGAACCAGCACCATCATCATCATTATCACCAACCTCCTCAATGTCATCAGCCTCATCAGTGCCAGCTACATCCGTCCCTTCTTTGGAGAATGGCTTGGCCTCAAGCCAACCACCATGAGCTAGGAACTGCTCCCTAGTCATGATCGAGTGTTTCACCGTAGGATCACGGTACTGTAGATGCAAAACCTGCATAGAATCATGTATGTCAATCATGGCACGCTGAGTAGCCATCATCCAATCCTAGTTATAGTTATAGATCTCCCTCTGAAATGGGTCAAAGCCTTGGGAATCTGCAACTCCGGAACCAGAAAGCTCTCTTGCTCCTATACTTATACCTGTACTCTGTCCTCTTCCCAATATCTTAGGCTTACAAAACTTGTCCACATGATTATCATCAATAGCAGCCGAAATGGTAACATGAAGGTGAGAAGGTAATTTCACCCTCGAATGCACACACAAAGATGGGTTCAGTTCCACCGAATTGCCATCCATCAATAAGGAACCAAAAATAGCTTCAATATCTATATTCAATCTCAAGGTCCTGTGATACTCATCCAACTCATCTTCCCCCTAGGTAAGAGGTTTACCCAACACGTGATTAATCGTGTCTCGGTCAAAATTTACATCTCTTCCCGTTACTTGTGTAGTCCAAGAAAAGACCTCATTATCATCAAGTAGAGCATTAGCGTAAAACTCCCTTATGAGTTCCACATTGTAATTGTCACATGGAGTGATTAGCTTGTCCCACTTTTTTTCATGAAGAATCGCAGCTACCGCTCAGTAGAATCCTTGGGGGGTTAATGTTAAACCTTTTCTCAAGAAATATGCTCCTTCTCTCAAGAGCAACGTATCTAGTAGCTTGCTTTCCCCCTTTGAACCACTCAGTGTCAAATGAGATTGGTTGCGGACGAGAGGAGCTTCCGACCTTTCTTTTCTTTGAAGGATTGTTTCTTGGAGGTGCCATCTGCATAACACCAAACATAACTAGCAAAAAAATATGACACATTAGTAAACAAAGTAAGGTGCGAAAGATCCAAACAGGAAAACATAGCTGTTGCGGTGAAATTTTGATATCAAGGTATTGATTAACTTGAATCTTAATTCATTTACAATCGGTCTTTGATTTATCCGAAGGAAAGGTTAAAGAAAGGGGAAAACCTATTTTGCATTGTGAACGCAACGCGGGGAGAGATCTAAAGTTCGGGGGTTGGTTAAGTCTAGGGAAGGTATTAGCATCCTAAACCTCTATAGTACTCTACAGGAACCTCTTGTTTTAAATGTTTGTTTTATTGCTAAGGTTTATCTGCTTAAAGGTATTCCTAAGGGTAAAAAAATGAAAAGAAGGACCTAAGGGGGTTAGTCCTAAGTATACTCGCCAAGACTCGCATCTTGTGCCTACGTATTCTGGGTAGGGGATGGAATTAGAGTAATCGTAGTTCCCCTCACAGAGGGAGATGAGGAATTTCTTGACTATGGTCAAGGTTCCTGGGGGAAAGTAAGTGTTCATAAGGAAGCGCTTACTTTGGAGTACGTCAACTCCTATTTCTACGTTAAAGTTCGATTTAAAAGGGTGTAGGATAGATATTCCACGGCGGGAAACCTATATGGAGTGCGGCGACTCCCAATCCTAATGCTAGGATAAAAGGGTTGGATGTCCACGACGGGACGCCTAAGCATGAGTACGGCGACTCGGGTCTTAAGGCTAGGATGAGGTGAAGGTGAGGTATTGACTCGGCGGTCAAATGGTGTAACCTTTCCTTCGGAGGGAAACTTAAGCAGTAAAAAATAAAGCGGTGGATAATTGAAATGCAAATTGTCATATAGATGATAGTAATTAGTCGGATTTTAGAGGTGAAGTATGATTAGGAAAAAGGGCGGTGAAAGTATAATTGATTTTAGCAGTTAGAAAGACGAATTGGTTGTTTTTTTTTTGAGCTAATATTATATTAAATTAATTTATTTAAATGAAAATGGGTAAATGTTGGAAATAATTACTTTTATGGTTTTTATGTAATTTATAAAAATGTTAGAACTTATTTGTGAATTTGTAAATTATAAAATGCTAGAATTTGGATAGAAATTAATTTGAATAAAAAAAAAGAATTAAGGTTTTTTAGTTTTTGAGAATTTAAATTGAATTAATCTTATATTAAGGAAAAAAGTTTATTTATTTTTAAGAAAGATGGATAATTATCAATTAACAAAGATTAAAGTTCTAAAGAAAATAAACTGTTTTTTTGGATTTTTAGATAAAATATTTTATGGGTTATTCTACCTATTATTTTTTATTAGGTTTATTAAAATTAGAATAAAACTTAAATCTAAAAGATTATCAATTAAAGCTAAATTACATTAACTTACTTTTTATTATTTCTTTTATAATTTTCATTTCAGTAT